GGAGGGAGGTGGGAGAAAGGAGTTCGATCCTCTCTCAAAGCTTTATCCCCCTTTCGTAAGAAACATTCTCTGATTTTGACGCCGCTGCTGGTGGTGTTGAGAGTACATACAAAACGACAAAATCATAATCTACTACCCCTATCTGCACGTCTTGCCTATTTGAATTTGTGAATACGTCAACGCGAAGTTGACATGTCCCAAAGCGCGCCGCTGTTGCCCGATCAGGCAAGCAATCTAGCACGCAGAAACAACAATCGTCATTAATTAATTAATAAACTCTCTCTCTCTCTCTCTCTCTCTCTCTCTATTGCGAAGTCCATGGGCCGCCTGAGAGGGACAGCGTGGGGAAATCCGAAGAGGAGGCATATCGCCGAAGCTATGTAATGTAAGTGGGTGGGTCACTGGGCATACTCACACGGGGACGTACACACGAAGTGCCAAAGAAGAAAGAGCAGAGAAAGAGTCAACGGGTGGACACGACGATGCCTCCTTCCAATTCTCTTTTTTCCATCTCATGTTCGTTTCCCTCCTTTTTCCATTTCCTATTTCTTTCCCTAATTCGCTTCTGTTACGACTTCGCTCGCAGCACATGATGAAGTGCGTACGGAAGAAGTGCATGTCCGGATACGCAAAACACACACATGACGTCGAAGCTGTGATGAATGACGAAGAACATCACCGCATGCACAACACATGCACTTATATGATCGACATAAAAAACACACGCACTGTATGTGTGTGTGTGTGTGTGTGTGTGTGTGTGTGTGTGTGTGAGAGAGAGAGAGAGAGAGAGAGAGAGAGAGAGAGAGAGAGAGAGAGAGAGAGAGAGTTTCAAGAAGTTTCAAGAATACAGACATATTTGTGCGTGTGTATGTGTGTGTGTGTGTGTGAAGTGCAGAAAACGATGTGAAGGGTCTTGCTCCACGACTCACCAAATGTGCAAAATGAGAATGAATCTTCTACTAGAACATGGGAAGACAAACCGCCATATCTTTTGTCTTTAGTGCATGTGGTCAGTAGTTGAGCGATGTACAAACCACCGATGCGATGAAGAGGAGAAAGAGGATCGGCAAACGACCTATGCAATGAGGAAGAGGAAGCAGAGTCTCCAACCACTCGCCGTTGAATAGGTAAATACGTGAATGAATGAAATGAAAACTACAAGTCTTCCCCCGAATACAACGTACGCTCATTATAGCCGAATTTGTGGTACCTTTACGTCTACCTACAACTATAATGACCGTACGTTTGGGGGAAGAAGGTCGGCCGATTCGACCGAAGTGGGTGGGCTGGGCATGAGGCTGTAGGCCTGCCTCCACGCCGCTTCATATTTGAATTTCAAGGACCTGCGACCCCCACGCCGTTTCAAAATATTTTAGACCACCGCCACCTACCGGTCCCCAAGAAAATGCCAAGGGCAAAATACCGGTCCTGCATATGCTTGAAGTGCGCCCGCCCCCTAAATGCCCGTGCTTTCATTTTACCAGCCTTTGAACGACCAATGAGCCCGAATGAACTACGGGTATAACGAACGACGACGGAAATGTCTCAGGGGGGGAAAACGCCAGCCCTTGAACGACCAATGAATCCGAATGAACTACCGGTATAAAGAACGACGACGGAAATGTCTCAGGGGGGGAAAACGCAACCCTGACGGGCTGCCAACACAACAACCTGCTCCCCTTCCCTGAAAATGCAGACCCTTCGCCCTGTTTCTTCCTGCATAGGGCCGATAGATCCCACCCCGGAAATCCTACCCAGATGTATAAACGCAATCCCCACGAGCTGCGAACATATATAGACGGGTGATATGCATAACAGGCGGGTGGAACATTGATGGATCTTCGGAAGGAAGGAGGGGTGTCGGCGAAGGGGTTTTGGCAACATCGCGGCGCCGCTGAGTTGTTGCCAACTGGCCCTTTCTGATCGGCTCCTCGTCTTTGGACTGCTGTCGCGGGAGGCTGGAGTCCTCAAGGAGTGCCGTAGTATAGTACGAAGTGCGAGTGGAACGCCTGCCTGAGGGAGGGGGCGGAAGAAGCGGTTTGACGACTTGACGGGTTTGTGCGAAGGAGGTGACAATTTTTGACAGTAAGATCAGCCTTAGCGAGGAGGCGGGGTCGAGAGCAGCGAACTACTTATGGAGTGGAGGCAGCACGATCGTTTGCGGGGGAGATGGCACAATGCGCGAACCACTTATGGAGGCAGCACGATCGTTTGTGGGCAGCTGGCAGAATCCGGCACGTGTGACGCCTCAAGTCACGAGCGGGGGGGGTAATGGATGCTCGGGCTGCGATTCAGCCAGTCAGTCTGAAGATTCTTCCCCGCGTTCTCTGATTTCCCCAGGCGCTGTCCAAAATTGTTTCCCGGGGGCGAAGCAGAGAAAGGACTATAGTGAGAACGGTTTTCGGACAAAAGGACGGTCGCCGTGTAAATCGTCGTGCAAATTTATGCTGGCGAGCTGTGCGCTGCTACGAGTGAATTACTGAGTTAGCTAGGAAATAGAGGAGGAGAGTGAGGGGGGAGTGGTGAGGTGTGCGGGTGGACGGAGTGAGGGTGGGAGGTGGAGGAGAATGTTTAGTTTCTTCTCTTGCTTTTCCGCCTCGCGCCAGACGCCGGAAGATGTTCCCGAAAAGCAAGTGGAGAGTGGGTCGGGAGGTGAGTTGAGCGGAGACGATACCGGCGGTTTTGTGTGCGGAGAATGTGCGTTTGGATGGATGAGGAGACGGAACGATCGATCACAGGCAATCACAGATGATATCAAGAAGGGAGGAGGTGGCGGGCCCCAGGTAGCGAGCACTAAAGTCGTCTCCTACGAGGAAGAGTTCAGACCTATTGTTGCCCCGCATGATCCTGGGGTGGAGGATGGCGGACCGGTCAAGTGTCCGCCGCCGGATGCGAGCTGCGATCAGGTTCATGCGGCGAATAGAACCGAGGGGCTGTGGATCGGGGGTGGAGAAGTCAACCCTGACGGGACGCTTAAGGATGGGTAGGTGTCTCTGTACGGCAGGGGCGCGCCAGGAATGAATTAACCACACAGGCAAATGCGCATTCATCCACTGGCCCTTACGGTAATCAATCTCCCCTCGACGCGATGTGAACTCCTGCGCGAAGGTGCTGTTATGGCATATTATGATCTATCGTCGTCCCCTCCCCTAGACGCGATGAGAACCCCAGCGCGCAGGTGCTGTTATGGCATATCATGATCTATCGTCGTCTCCATTCCGGCCTCTCACGTCTGTCTTACAGTTAAGCAGTCAGAGGAATTGTGAAATGGATTCAGTTGGGTTCGATGGAGCGACGGCCAACCTGAGATTGACTGCTTCGTAAGGCCGCATAGAGAGCGAAGGTCGGGTGGGGGTGGGGAGAGAGAGAGAGAGAGAGAGAGAGAGAGAGAGAGAGAGAGAGAGAGAGAGAGAGAGAGAGAGAGAGAGAGAGAGCCTCCACCTGTCTCTGCAATGCATTGATTGCTCGGAGAGAAGAAGAGCAATTCTGCGAACAGAAGACGGTTAGCCGGAGGAGTGCAATCACAGTGCATGCATGCGTTCTACTTTTTTCTTACGATGGAGGGTGGTGCGCTGGAGAGGGCGCAGGAGGGAGGAGGGTGTAAAAGGTGCTGTGTTGGTCGTCTCTCGCGCAACGAGCGTGTGTTTGTCGACCCCCTCTTTCTCGTGCCCAAGCATCCGTTATGTCTATTATTACCCTTACGGGCCGGCCGACGAAGGCTGTTTATCACGTTTTAGGGCGCTTGTGAAACTGCTTGTGGAAACGAAAGCAAGAAGAGGAAGAGTGTTGGCATTGTGGTGTCCGGAGTCCTTTAGCGACGGACTCTGTCTGTTATGGAGTATTATGATCTATCGTCGATTCCCCTTCGGCCTTCCCCGTCTGTCTGATAACTAAGCAGCCAGCGCGATTGTGAAATGGATTCAGTTGGGTCCGATCGAGCGACCGCCAACCTGTTTTGACTGTTTCGTAGGGGCGCACAGAAACCGAAGGTCGGGTGGGTGCGCGCGCGCGAGAGAGAGAGAGATTGAGAGAGAGCTCCACTGGTATCTGCAGTGCGCTGCTTGTTCAGAGGGAAGGAAACGGATTGTGCGAACGGAGGACGATTAGCCGGAGGGGAGTCTCACAGAATGACAGTGCATGCATGCGGTCGACTAGTTTTTTGAAGATGGAAGGTGGTGGTGGAGAAAACTCAGGAGGTCGGAGGGTGTAAAAGGCACTGTGTCGATCCTCCGTCTTGCAACGAGCGTGTGTTTGTCGGCCCACTTACTCGTGCCTATCCATCCATCCATCATGTCGATTTCCCTAATGGGCCGGCAGATGAACGGTGTTTTTTTAGGGTGCTTGTAAAACCGAAAACGAGTGGAAGAGCGTTGTCATTGTGGTGTCAGTGTCGTGAGTCCTTTCGTGACCGACTTCATCTTCGTGGCTCGAAAAAGTGTCCATGAGGAGGATTGTGCTTGTGTATGTGGAGCTGTGTGAGTGGCAGTTAACAGGTGAGCGCGCAATACAAGCGTGGGCAGGGGGAGTGGGGATGAGAGGCGATTGAAGGTTTAGGCTATACCCATTACGTGTTTGGGATGAGAGAAGAAAAGACAGTCGAAGGATGTGTGGGGAACCAAAAGAGGAGAAACAAGAGCGAAGGCGGGAACAAACGACGAGAAAAGACAGTCAAAAGGATGTGTGGGGAACCAAAAGAGGAGAAACAAGAGCGAAGGCGGGAACAAACGACGGGAAGAGAAAAGGGAGCATTTGCACGTGTAGTAGTGGGGAGAACCAATGTTGATTGGCCAAGGGAGAACCAATGTTGATTGGCCAAGACGTGCGTTCTGTATATGAGGCCGTTGTCGGGGGGGGAGAGAGAGAGAGAGAGAGAGAGGGATATGGACAGTTAAAAGGTAGGAATTCATTGAGTGGCTCTTTGTCGGCTTCAACAACTTTATCGGGGCCTTGGCTGTTGTTCACAGTAAAGTATGGTGTAGATGTTCAATGATGTCAATAAAGATGATGAAATCACGTTCTTGTTGATGTGAACGCTTCCCGACGGCAAATTCAGCTCCTCCTTGTATGCATTCCCCTCTTTCTTCTTTTGGGCTTTGTCCAGCATCCACCTACGTGACTGGTGTGCTCGTCTCGAACTTATTGCTCTCTATTGTAATATGATGCTACCGTCTTCCCACGAACACAACGTACCCGTCTTCCCCCGAATACAACGCACCTTTATTTTGGCTGTATCTGGCGGGAAATATAGCTTCTATACATTCATTTTTAGGGTGCGTTATGTTCGCGGGAAGACGGTAGGCCCACGGCCACTCGTCCCTGTTTTCTTAAAATCATCGTCTGTTTCTCCGCCTGCTTCCTCTCTATCTGTGGAGCGAAGGAAGCACTCTGGCTTAATCAATCGTCCGTGTTGTCATGAATGAACTGATGTAGTATTTGTAAAGTAACATTTGATATGTGAAATGAAGGTCGAAATGACCTTTCGCTCTGTGTGCCACCGTCCTCTTTCCCCTCCCTCCTTTTATGCTCTCCTCTAGTGTGTGGCGCTCGCGTTTGTTCGACGATGTTTGTGCTTGGGTAGTAACTCACATGGAGAAGAGGGTGGTACGATTACTTTTATTTCTTATGCTCGTCGCCTGCACCTAGGAGCGACGAGATACGCACGTAGGAGTAGTCACTTCTCGGGTATCTGGCCGTCGACCGATGGCGCGTTTTTTCCCATGATCGATCGAATCCGGCGAGTTCTTTTGTACCTCGGTGTTGTCATGGAAAAGTTGAAGCTCGTGATTGGTGGCGGCACGGGAGTGTTGGCGCCAATTCCTATTCAGCAAGGTGATTAGCTCTGTTGGACACAAACTACAATAATGGTAACTGATGGTCCTGGAGAAAAAAAAGGTTAAACGCAGCTCTGCTCATAGCGGCTACGCCCAATTTATGCAAGGGAGAGTTCGGGGGAAAAAGGTTTATAGTAAGAAGAACCGACGATTTCCTGGTATACACGAGCGGAAACGTATTGTGTACTGTGGTTTCAGGACAAGTGAGGATGGGAGAAGTACATACAAACCGTACAAATACACACCCGCAAACGCAGGGGGGAGAGAGAGAGAGAGAGAGAGAGAGAGAGAGAGAGAGAGAGAGAGAGAGAGAGAGAGAGAGATGTCACCGCTTAAGTGACGCCGTCTCTCCCGCGTTGAGTGCTGATAAAGTCAGGGAGTACGCACACGCGAACCCAGGGGGGAGAGAGAGAGAGAGAGAGAGAGAGAGAGAGAGAGAGAAGCGACGCCGTCTCTCCCGCGTTGAGTGCTAGTGAAGGGAGGGACTCGCAGCGGGCCAGTTCTTGTCATATATTGCCGAGGAGAGAGATGTCGTCACTGAAATTACGCCGTGATTTCGCGCAAGCAGGCAAGCACGAGGAAGGTCGAAAATGTCCGTCGTTCTCCATCTTACCGCACCTCTTTCCCTCGTGGTCGCTACCAGGACGTGGACTGAATCTGCCCGCAGTTGCGGCCAGATTCGGGTTATGACATCGTAGTGCAACGAAGACGTTGTTGATGGTCAAAGACACGAAGACGGTACGGCGACAGATGTAGCTTGGTAAGTGGAGCGGTGCCGTGACATCTACACCAGCGACACGGCCACGTACCCACACAGAGAGAGAGAGAGAGAGAGAGAGAGAGAGAGAAGGGGGGGGGGGGGGTCGCCTTGGGTGGGCTTTTACCTCGCGCCAATGCGGAGAGAGAGGAGAGGGGGGTGGTCCACCTTGGGTGCGCTTTTACTTAACGCCGACGCGGCGGAATTATATCCCATACACGAGCGTCTGGCAGGGTACATACTCCTCTCCGCTGCTGCCCCGTTCCCTCCTCTCGGTCGAAGGTGATTGTGCGGGTAACGAACATAAAAATTAATGGCTAATGACTATAAGGCAATATATTCGAGAGGAACGGTAGTGGACGAAAAAGGCTTGCAAGCTTTCAGGGAAGATCGGATTTTGCGATTTCTTTCACAGCTCCGAATGCCTACCACTAGAACGGCGGATTGATGAGAGGCAGGGAGAGAGGGTGGGGCGAATGTACGGACGATGCGGTATGGCCTACGTGGATGCAGGTATCCCGATCTGGGCGAGCTGGCCTATCTGCGTGAGCCGTTCAATGTGGAATCGGTAGCAGTATTGTCCGTCCCTGGTGACGCAGAAGAAAGGGAGAAGAGCAGGAGCGATCAGATGGATGATGATGCGCTTGTTACAAGTCCGCTGCCTTTTCTGTGTTGATGAAGACAATCCGATATTCTGAACTGGTAGATGGGCCGACTTCCTTGACAAGCATTTGTGACATGACTTCAATCGGGAAGGTGCGAGGAAAAGCAACAGCGACGTGCTTCTGTACATGGTTGGAGGACGCTGACAAGGGGCACGGAGCGAAGAGAGCTGCAAGCAAGGGAAGTCGAGAGAGGAAGAAAGGTGAGGCGGGGGGGAAAGAGGCATGAAGAGGGAGAGCGGGATTTGTGGAAGGCATCACAGAAGAGAGAGGAGGGTAGTGGGAAAGGAGCAAAGATGGGTATATAAGGTGAAGGGAGAAGGGGATGATGGAGAGGTTTTCAGATGACGACACCTGGTTGGGGAGGTGGGATGGTGAATGGTGGATTTCAGTGTTGGAGTGGAGGGCCAGTTCTCCCGCTATCGTGTCTGGTGATCGGTACGGCGACGTGATGAAATTTCACGCTTGCGTACACAAACTGTCGCTATTTGGCTCAATGTGTCTGCTTGATAAGAGCATGTGCTGCGCTGTGTATGAAAACGGCGATGGCGGGGATATGTGTGATTGGTTGTGGCTATGGGCCTCGTTGCACCACTCCCCGATCCGCCAACATTTTGAATGGATCCGGACAGAAGAGTTGTCCAGATGCATTGAAGATGTTGGCGGATGGTGAGTGGTGCAACCAGGCCCTGTGTTCAGCAGCTGTAGGTGGCGCGTTCTGGTTGAATAAGTAGGCCGTTAATCAGCCCGCGCAGTAGCGTAGAAATGAGGCGATGCGTGTCCTGACGAGTGCCTGGTCTGGAAATTGCCGCGTGCGTGGGGTAAGGAAACCGTGTCAACAGACCGAGTGCTGTGTTTTTTCTCTTTGGCTTTTTTTTCGGAGGGGAGCCCTCGACAGTAGTGTGCCAGCAAGGATTTGAACTCAAGATCGGACATACCAAAGTAGAGGAGGGGTGGCGGTCACTACATTCCCATTCCCATGGTCTAGGCCCAAATGCTAAGCAAGTGGAATGGGCATTACAGTGGATAGAGCTCCTCTGTGAGCTGAACCTGTGGCACTGGGGTTGGCCACCCTTCCCTGAGAAGCCATGGGTACTACAGCTGTATCTATGATTATCTCAGACGGTATACAGCAAGAATGACCACGCCTTCAGTGAAAGGGAAGATGGTACTGCAGCCCTCTGCTGGGAGCTTAGTTAGCCAGACACTGTTACCTGGGCGGCAGCAGTAACCAGCTATATCTAGCAAAGGAGGAGGAAAGAGTTACACCTCTTCAGTCTGAAAGTGTCGTGACCACACCAGTTTTCGGAAGTCCCACCGTTGTCATCGGTGGATGTTGTCGAACCTCAGTTTTGCTCTATTCTGACTTGTCAAACCTTGAGCTTCGATGGCAAGAGCCCAATTTTACGTTCTGCAATAGGCTGCTGCTACTGCAATCTGCAGTGGAGGTTTTGTACCTCTGTGAGGTCGGTTCTGCAATAGGCTGCAGTTGCTGCATTGGAGGTTTTGTACCTCTGTGATGTTTGTCGGGGGTGCGTTTCTGGGGCTGTTAATGGACAGACCCATGGGAGGTACTGGGAACGGTGGTGGCTAGTGAAGCGGGCCGGTGCTTTTGGAGCATCTTTTTGTGAAGCAGTCCGGGGCTGGGCTTCGGTGTTTGTGGTGGGACGTTCTGCATGGAACTGTTAACTGACCTGCAGCCTCGTTCCTGTGATCCATGGGAAGCAGTGAGAAAGGTGCTGTCTTCTGAACCACAAGAGTTCCCCAGAGCATCTTGGAGTAAAGCTAGATGCGGCTGTGCCTCTCAGATTTCGGTTATGCCTGCATATGCTAGAAAGTGTTGTCTTTGCTCCTGGTGCTTCAAACCACTGCTCCCTTTTTCGCAAAAGAGAGAAACAGAAGTCCGTTGCTCATGAGCCTTTTTCCCATGGCTGATTTTGTGCTTCGGGTTGCAATCCCATATGGTCCTGGTATAAGCTTGGGCCTACTTAGGGTCAGGGCCTTGCCACACCACTGTTGAAAACGAGAGTTCCGACAGTTGCAGTTTAAATTTCTCCTTGCTACACAGCCCCTTGAAATCCATGGCGCCGTTGTCAGAAAAAGGTTTTTGACACCTGTTGAAGGTGGTTGCATCCCCAGCATGGAAATTCAACATTTTCAACAGGTGCCCAACACCCTATCCAGTTTTCCTTCAAATTCCGTGAGTGGGCCTGAGGTTGGAATGGAACTATCCTCAGGCGGGTTGTCTTTTCTGGACTTGCATTCATGAGCTGGCTGGTTCAAAGGTGCCGTGCGGCGAAAGTGTCGTTGTCAAATTTATTCCGACAGCTGTCGAAATTTTAGGGCCTCCAATAGTGGTGTGGCAAGCCCCTCAGTTGTGATCTTTGGAAGCAGCCATTTAGTGAAGGTTATGGCTGCCCCACTATTTACATCCATTGTCTTTGGAGGGAAGCAGCCATTTGCTGAAGGTTATGGCTGTGCCACTCTATACATCTGTTGTCTTGGAGGCTGCTGGAAAAAGTGGGGTTCAAAGAAGCACTGGGGGTGTTGGTGACCATCGCCTCCTTGTGAATGATGTGGTCCCTGGAGGTAGCTGTTCTCTGAAGCAAATTGTGGTTAATGCACCAATTAGCCTGTTTTCCTGGTACCTCGTTCTGCACCGGTGAACACAGCAAAATTGTAGTTCGGGCCTACTGAAAGGCTGGTGGTCTCTGGTGATATCGTCAGACCAGCTACAGTTCAGTTTTGTTAGGGCTGGGGAGCACAGCAGATTGGAGAAAAAGGCGTGGACTCCGTTTGGTTTGGTAAACCACCACTCTGCGAGGCTTCAGGCCTCTGTAAGCCCAGAAAGGACAACCTGTGAAAAATGGGCCTGGCCCTAAGTGAAGGCCATGGCTGCAGAAAATTGTCGGCTCTAACTGAAGGCTGGCCCAGGACAGTTGGGGAGGCTGGTTACCAGTTTCCGCAACTGACCAGTAGGCCCAGCCTCTGAGTTAGTTGCAGAGGCCGGCATCTGGATGCATACCCAGAGGCAGTAGGGACTGCTTACTGGGTCTCAGACCGCCGTCGTAGGGACTGCTTACTGGGTCTCAGACCGCTGTCGTATTCCACGCATTCTGAAGCACTGGTTGGCGGCGCTAGCTCCGTGACAGTGCAGGGCAGCCAGGCTATAGCGCTCATTGAGGAAGGAGCAGATCGGCAGCCATAGCAGCTCTGGGGAGGAAGAAGGGTGGTGCCCTGTCTGGGTGATTGGAGTGGGGGATGGCAATGGGAACTGGTGCTACTTATCTGATGGTGGCTAAGGAGCAATCGAGTGGTTTGGACTGTTGAGCATCACCTGAACGTGGGCAGAGTGTGAGGGAGAGAAGTAGGTGTATAAGGTGAGCGGGGAAGTAGTATAGGGGGACACATCATATAGCAGAGGTACTACATTGTTGTTGTAATGATTACTGGAGGGGAGAAGTGGGGCTTTCTCGGTCAAGAGACTTCAGTGTTCAGTGTATTCTCATTTGGTGTGGACACATCATATAGTAGAGGTACTACATTGTTGTTGTATTGATTACTGGAGGGGAGAAGTGGGTGGGGCTTTCTTGGTCAAGAGACTTCAGTGTGCTGTGTATTCTCATTTGGTGTGCTCTTGGCTTTGTATTTCTGCCTTCAACTCTGTTGACATACGCTTGCAACTGGGAACATTTGAGTTCTCATTTGTTGGTCTTTTGCATTTTGGAACGAGAGTGGATACCTTGCTAGATCTTATGGTGCCAGCGCCGAGGTACACCGTGGGCAGTGTTGTTGACTTTCATGGTGGCTGGTGAGTGATGTCATGCTCAGAGTTGTGAGCGCATTGTGGAGGTACGGAAATTATGGCACAGAGAGAGAGAGAGAGAGAGAGAGAGAGAGAGAGAGAGAGATGACTGTGGTAGGAGGGGTAGATATGGCGAGAGTCGCCTTTGTTGGACGATAGTCGGCATCACACCTCTCTTGTGTCTTTCTTCGTTTTGTTATGAAGTTTTGATTTTCAATTTAAACTCGGTATTGGACTCTTGTTGCGGCGTGAACTTTTTTGCAAAACAAACTCGGGCCTTGGCACTTGCTCAGTTTTGTCAAAGCCACGTCTGGTGTGGCTGAAGCATCTCGAGTGTGGCCCAGGCACAAGGGACCACAGCAGGGCTTTCTTTTCCAATGGTCACCATGTGGTATCGGGTGCCCAAATCACTACCATTTTCAGCCGGTACTACTGGCTGGCCTATTTACCAGGGCCGACACTGGCTGGCCTATTTACCAGGGCCTTGTCAGCCCTGGCCGTCATCGCTTGCCGCGCGAAAAGTTTCAGCCTCCTGGCTGAATGTGTTGCAGGCTGCCAGTCCCCACATGGCCTGTGGCAAAACTGCAGTCGGCTGCCTGAGTTTGTTTATCATTTAAATTTCAGTCCGCAATAGGACTGCAAAAAGAAGTTTCGAATGTATGCCATGGCCTTAGTTTTTTTTTTTTTTTTCTCGGTCGTTCGGGTTTTTGTTTTCAGTTTTGGGATGCTGTATGTGCGTGCATTGAGGTGCTGCCTTCGTTGTCTCCGTTTTTATGGATATGTACGAAGACAAACGGAGATGTGGATGTTTAGATGTCCATGTGGTATTAACAACATCCAGTGGTTCTCATCTTATTCTTCTCTTCCTTGGCAATCTCCTTTGTATAGAATACTGTCCTTTCTGCAATCCATGGTAAAGTAATCAGGCATGAAATATATATATTAATTTCATGCTTGTGGCATTGATTGATTGGTTGGTTGGTTGATCGACTGATTTCGTAACAAACAATATAATGGTGGACATCACACACAGCTTTTGCGCTTGTTCTTGTGTAGGTCCCAGTGTTAGCTGCAGTTTTAATGGTGGACATCACACACAGCTTTTGCGCTTGTTCTTGTGTAGGTCCCAGTGTTAGCTGCAGTTTTTGTACATGCACATGCGTGTGTGTGTGTTGACATGTGTGTGTGTGTGTGTGTGTGTGTGCGCGCGCGGGTATGTGTGTTCCTGTGGGTGTGAAAGGGGGGATTGAATCTGGTATGAGTTGAGAGATGCTGATGAATCTGGCTGCCTTCTCTCTTTAGAACCAGTCCAGGTGAATCCAGCTTGCATAAAAGTCTTGCTACAGTCATCCCGTGTGTGTGTGTGGGAGGAATCTGGTGGCGTTTTCATGCCATATTCAATTGACATGTAAAGCAAGCGTGGAAACAAGACTCCCTCACTCTCTCTCGCTCTCTTTCCCTCCCCTTCCCTCCCCTTTCAGTGTCAGCTCGTACACAACTCGGTGGGAATGGGGCTTGTATATGTTGGACCCCCCTCCAGGTTGTGTGTTGTCTGAGGTGTGTGTATGTATTTCTGTGTGCATTTGTATGTGTGTGTACATATATGTGGGTGTGGGTGTGGGTGCATGCCTGTTTGTGTTTATGATGGACAAATCGATTGATTGATTGATGGATCGATCAGTCGATGGATCGATTGATAAATTATCAGAAAAATATAAGAAAAGACAAAGAAATGAAGAAGAAGAAGAAGAAGAAGAAGAAGAAATGAAAGAAACACCCCTACATCCATCCACAAATAGTTGACACAAACCTAAGTATTGCTATGCGCTAAGAGCACTTGGCTTCGGGCTTGGGCCAGTAGCAAAAGCAGCAGATGTCCTTCGGGATATCCGTTAAAATTGGAACTATACGATGAAAATTAGCATGGCCCCTGCGCAAGGATGATACATACAACTTTGCCTCATGTAACTGGTCGTTTAATGTTGACTTACGTTGGTTTCCCTCAAACAACATTGAGACTGAATCTGATAATCATGACACTACCCAACTTACTTGAGTGACAGGGTACACTATGACCCGCATCGGCCCAAGTGCGCAAGCGGTGCACGAGGGTCCTCCCGACCTTGTCACACGTGAGTTAGCTTGATAAGAACGCAATGACGTATGAAGCTTTGCTACTCCAGTTGAGTGCGCCAGCTATATCTCTCACAATTACCAACGGCAATATAGAGTCCTGCGAGGTACAGCTTACCTTTACCCAATGAGCTCGCACAATTTTTAGGTAGGCATGTCTTCCGCTGAGCTCCTTGGGTGACTCGTTTCGGCTTTGGTTTATGTTTTTGCTTATTGAATTTTATCTTGCTCATGTGACTTGTTTGGGTCCAATTAGCAGAACTCGCTGCTGACGGAACATAGCCCGCCCACACCGAAGGAACTGTCTACTCCGGTCGGGTATCGAAGGCGGGGTTTTTCAGAGTTTGGTCCGATGCATGAAGGGGGCCGACTTGCTGAGACTGGCGCTGCGAGCACTGTGTTCAACAATTAGAAGTTTGGCCTCGGGCCTTTTGCGGAAACAGCACGGCCGTGGGTTCGGCTGGCAGATTAAGGCGTGACCTTGGTGTGACCTAGCAGGCCCTAGGTAACGAAGGGTCCTGTTTATATTGATTTTGCACCTGCTAGCCCCGAACATTAGCTTAGCTCAATTGGTAAAGGCATTGGACTTCTACACCGCATGTGTAGGGATCGAGATCAGCGAGCGGCGATGGAGTGGCGAAGTGCGATCAGAGTAACCAAGGGGTTAAGGCCCTTGAGGGTCCCATGAGACTATCCCTTTTGGTTTTTGCTTCGGTTTCGATCGCCAGTTCAACGGCTAGGACCAAAGTGGATACCAGCGGTTTCCCCTCTTTTTTTTTTTTTTTTCTCTTCCTTTTTTCTTCTTTGGGACTGGGCCCAATACTAATCCCGGGACTGCAGATGCAATCAATGGGCCTAGCTCTGTTGGTACACCCCTGAACTGTTGAAATACAGACCTGAGTTCGAACCCTACAGAAAGAGATGAGTAATGTATTGCAGTCCTTAGCTGCTTGGGTTCGGCCAGTCCCGCGGTGCCCACTTTGCGGCCGCTCGTCCTTTGGGACATCTGTTAAACGATACAGAGAAGATTAGCATGGTCCCTGCACTTGAATGATACCTCTGGACCGACTGAGGTCTAGACCTGCTCGCTTGATCATGCATGTGGCCGAGCTAGTGTTTGTATGTTTCTGGGAGTAACTGCAGTCAGATACATTTGGTAAAGTGCTAGGGTGAGTATGCCCGCGGCTGTGTCCTCCTGCCTCATGTCTTTTTGCCTACTTCGCTTTGCTCGTGGGGCACCATTGACTTTTTTTCTTTCTCGTCTTTTATTCTTTTTTCGTCTCTCCCCTTGTGTCCCACCGGGCCCTTTCGGATCGGCCCCAATGCCATAAGAAGCCACTTGATTGGTAGCGGAGCAGGTGGTAGGTTTTGTGTTGGACGAAGAGAAGCGGGTGTCGCAGACGACGAGGAGGAAGACCAACGGGGTGATGGGGACAGAGGGGACGTAGAGCAGGGAGTTGACGACCAGGGTAAAGAGGGAGAAGGTCGTAGGGTTATAAAGGTCACAGAGCTATAATGAAACCTTACCTACGGATACCTGTAGGTTAGCGTCCATGACTTCACCTTCCTCAAAGGTCGTCGTTGCTCAAACTCACCGTCGCCATCGCTCAGACCTGTGGTCGTCTTCACTTAAGTGGAGGTTGTTTAGTGGTCGCCTAAACAATGGTCTTTTCGTGGCGCTCTTTTGTGCGGTGGTATTTGACTTACTTGCACTGATTTTCATTTTGCATGTATCTGGTCGAGGTCTGGGCCAAATTCAGTGGAAGTAAGATACAAGTGAAGGTGGGAAGGGTTGAGGAAGACGAGAGAAGAGGCAGACGGTAAGAGGATCAATGAGGATAAAAGGGGAACTGAGGTAGGAGTCGGGTTCGAAGAAAAGGGAAGGACTGACTTAAGCAACTGGGGAGGGTCAAAAAGAGGGAGAGACGCAAAGGTAATAGAGGGGAGGACCCAGATGAGGAGCGAAGGCGACAAAGGAGGTGACAAAGTGAGAAAGGAGTAGAGGGGTAGACAAACAGGTGGGAAAGAAGACGACAGGGAAGTCGAGAGCAGGATAGAGGAGGTTGGAGGGCTGAAGTGGCGGTGGTATCTGGGCGTAATCAAGCATACCCCCATTCATGGTTTCCTCCTTCACGTCCTTCTTCATACTGGGAGGGGTATGCATTTCTTCACTTGCATCTTCTACCATGATTGGTGCAGGTTTCTCGTCTCCATACGAGTGGTGGACACACCAACTCGCCATTCTTCAATCTTTGTTTTTCCTTTCATCCTCTCAATTGCATCTAAGAACTTCCTCGCCTCCTGCCTCAACTATGTAGCTTCTAATTTCCCGGAGCATTCTCGCTTCACCGACTGTTGTGGGGTCACGACCGTCACCTTCATGTTTTGAGCCAAAAGTCTTACCAACCTCGCTTTGAGCCGCGCTTCTCTTGCTTCGGTCTCCCTCTGTTCCTCTTCTTCCCTTCTTTTCCTTTTCTCCATCTCTGTCTCTTGTTTTTCTTCCTCCATCTTCTGCTTCCTCTTCTTCCCGAAATACTACTTCCATTTCCTTGGTCTCGTCATCCGTCTATGCTTGAGGCTGAATCTTTTGTAATGGAGGTGTCCCGTTCCCAACACCCAAACACTTTCTCGCATAATGTCCGACATTGTCCGTACTTCCCACATAAGTAGCATGAAACCACCCCTGACGAATTCCCGCCTTGAACTGTCGGGCATGCTGCAACCGCAAAGTTCTCGACAAGTGGTCCAACAACCGGTTGATAGCCAGCCATTCTATCTCCTGTTCTCTCTTCTTCTGATCTCTCACTAGGCAACCAAAACTATACACCCGT